TATTTTCAATAAGCAATCCTGAAAAATATTTGGGGGTGCTTAACTTTTTTCCAGGTGTATAGTTGTTTAATTGACTGCAAACAGTTGTGACTTGCACACGTTAACCCTTTCATACTTAAAGAGCTAAGCCCATTTTTCTTAGCATATAAAGGAATTGGAATGGCATTAAAATTCTCCCTTTTCTTGAAACAAATTAACTAGCTTAACTGAGCATTATCAAATACTTTTATGATTATTTTTGTTTTTTTCCTTACATATACATATCCTGAGAAATACCAATCTGGGTATAATTAATGTTTTGCACTTTTTCTGTTTAAATTTCATTGATTTTTATATCAGAATATATATGCAAAACTGGAAATACTGAATAGTACAGAAAGTAATTATACATAAATTCTCTTATCTAAAAGTTCCTTCCCTTTTTTTTTTTCACTTATGAGTAAATTTGTACAAATAATAATGTTTTTTAAATGTATAAAAGGTGGAATTGTCAATTTTCAGTAGGAGTTTTTATTTGGTTTTCATTATTTATGAACTTAATAATGTTCAGTTTTGTAGTTTGTAATAGTGAAGAATAAATTTGTATGCTTTTCCAGATATACTTTTGAGAGAATGTTTTTAAAGACTATAAAAGCTTGTAGTTGTTATACGTTTAAGAATTTAACAATATTCTACCATTTCAGTTGGATAAATAATTTATTTTTTTTCATATTTTTACATTGAGTGAGTGAAAAGAATTATTTTATTTTCTGTAGTAGCTCCTGATCCTCCTCCTCCAAGCAAACCACTTCCTCCAATTCCTGTTGAGGAAGAACGCAGAGAAAAAGTACGTAAACCCCCACGGAATATCCAACCAGTTCAGCCTCCAAGAGTGCCGGAAGCTCGAAACTCTGGTTTGTTCAATAAATCCCCTGCCCGTAGACCAGAGGTGAGGCTTTAGCTGAATTGAAAATTTTCTTCCATGCTAACAAAACTATAAAATATATTGTTTTATAAAAGTAAAACTGACAAAGTAAGTAAAGGAATTTTATGATGGTATATGAACCCAAATTTAATAAAATATTAATAGTGTTAGATTTAAGTATTTATGATGGAAACCCCATATTTAAAAGCATTATATCTTAAAATTTACTTTTTTGTAGGGTAACAAAATTTCACTGGATTCACATTAAGAATTACAAGTTTTTATTCAGGGAGGTTTGGAAATGGTACAGAGTGTTTCCAAACCACATTATAATGCATCTCTAAAATTTCCTTTCTTACAAATTAGCATTGCTTTTATTTCTCTTTTTTTTTTCTCTCTTTCTCAAGAATATGAGATTGGTGATTTGTCAGTGTGCAGGGTACTACAAAGATCAATAAACATTGTTGTTTAGAGCAGATGATACTTGCTGTAACTTCATTGAATGATAGTCTTTAACCTCCCATAACTCCTGTGTTTCCTCTATACGCCAACATTGTGAAGAAACAGGACATCAACCTATACTATCCAATTTCTCTATCCTCTACAAGTTTAATACTGACCTGGAATTATTGATTAAAGAAACCCTCCACGTCAAACAGCACTCTCCAACACTGAACAACATGCAGTCTTTATTTGAATTATACATTTTTTAATTTGTTCGTATTACTGATTTTACATCGCTTTTTTTTTTTGTTGTGTTTTCTTGCTGTAGTTTCTCCCCATGATTATCGTTATATCTAGTCTTGATACTGATTGAGAATGATGGAAAGCATATTGGCCACCTTTTATGACCATTTTTGTGACACCCTATACCATGCCTAAACTTTCCTGAATAAAACTTGTGATTCTTAATGTACTTCTGAGGAAATTTAATTTCCCGTAGGATAAGTGTTTTGAAGATATGTGGTTTTCTTTATAATCACCCTATATGATGCATTCTAGAAGCAACCAAACAGGCACGCTTAGATTGTTATGACTTCAGAAAAAATGAATAAGAAATGCACTATGTTTGTGACTTTTCAATGACTTTTTGCAAGGGACTATATGGTATTTCACAAGTGACTTTAATGACACGAAATAGAAAAGAACAAGTAATATTATTAATAGTCTTAGAAAGCAGCTCTGTTTCAGGAATTGTGTATTGTATAAGGATGAGATAATTGATATCTGATTTGTTACAAAATAACTTCCAAGTTTTTTTTCATCCTCGGACAAACTATCCATTTTTAATATGGGTTTTTTGGATTTACTAGTAGTTTTACTATAGTAGAAGAATATTTTAAATAACATAGTATTTTCTTAGAACCTACCCAATAATATTTAGTGTTATAATATGAGCAGAACAGTATTAATTGTTTTATAAAATTATAAATTACTAGTTTTCTCTATTTTAAGCCAAACGTAATTTTTTCAGCATCTCTTATGATAATGGTGCTGTATTAGAAAACAAGGATAATGCTAATTTATTACACAATGAGTTAGCAATTTTGGATGTCTTTAATGTTTTTAACCTATTTTTCAGAAGTTTACTGTCTTAGTAATGATACCAAATAAGAAAAAAAAAGTATGAATATTTTTCTTTTCAGGATCTAGAAGTATTAGCTGCTCAACTGAATGAGCTGGCCTTAGGAGGCAGCAGTAGTGGAGCTGCAGGCAGAGCCAATGGTAGAGGTCCATCAGGATCAGCAATAGTAGTTAGTGAGCATTCTGCTCGTCAGAATGGTAGTACACCAGATCAAGTTCCTCCCATAAAACCACCTTCAGATTCTGATGAAGAGGAAGAAGAAGAAGGTCATGTTCAAAGTGATGGAACTTTACTGGCATCTGATCCACCAAGACCACTGTATGTATAAAATTAATAAATATTTCTCTAAATCATATTTTAATTTTTCTTGTATATCATTCATATGTCAGCAGTTTTAGTTTTATTTATTAATGCTCAGACCATTGGTTAAAAAATTATATTAAATAATGAACTGTTACAACAGAGACATATGGGAGACAAACGATAGATCTGAAATGCCATTTTTACATGCCACTGATTTTGAATCTGAAATTGACAAATTAAAAGGAAAATTAAAACAAAATATCTGTAGTTAATAAATTATACGACAGAGTTTGGGCCTTTTGGTGTTTCTAATGTTTGAGATATACCTACTTGTATCACATTAAAACAATATTTCCAGTAACTTTACTATTTCAAGAAAAATTGCTGTTGAAATATGTTACTGATCTTTCAGAATAGGGAGGATTTGAATATGTTTTTTTTACCAAGTTTTTTCATAGAAATTTTATAGAAAGCTTCAGTTGTATTTTAATGACTTTCCTCAAAACATTAGTAGTACACTTTTTTTCTTTTTCATGGCATGTTTATATGCCATAGCACATGTGGTGATGATGTGAATTAACAGATTGCAAAATTGTCATTGTCTGATCAATGAACATTTTGAACAACTGTTATTGGTGTATATAAACTTCTCAAAAGACCCAAGTGGCTTAAGTAAGAAATTTTCAGTAAGAATATTTTAGTTATCGGTATTTCTAACTTTCATGAAAAGGTTTCTTCTCAAAATAGGATGTAATAAAGTGTACAAAATGTTAGGTCTAAATTATGTATTTAAGTTCAAAACGTGTTTCTGATTTGATGAGATTAATGAAGAGAGTATATGAATGATTGGGTAAATTGTTATAGTAATGTAGTATGCACAGTGAAATCATGTTTATTTTCCTTTCTTTAATCAGTATAATTATTTTTAAACTTTTGATGGATAAAGAGATATCAGTAATGAAACTTAAAATTGATATGTATTATTTCAAGAATCACAGACCTTGCATTCACTGACATTTTGACAGAAAAGTACAACTAATTGAAAATGCATACAGAGCATTTCTTTATCACTTTCTATGTAAAAATTTTTAAAACTTGAAATAGATGAAAGTTTTGTAAGGAATTACTTGTTTTTTAATTGCTACCATGATCAGTGACAAATATTTTGATTTCCAGGCCTCCAGATGGGTATAGTAACAACAGTAGTAAAAACATAACGGTTCCTGAAGGTAAGTTTTATGCTATAGTTTTATTTTGTTTATGTGATGTATAAGAAGCTCATTGAAAGTAGTTCACTCTTATAAATTGAAATGTATGTAAAGTTTTTAGATTATGAAAGGTGCTAGCTACATACGTATATCTAATTCACTGGAAGTAACTTGGAGCAGAAAGTGTCCTGATAAATTTTAATGTGATGTAAATTTTGTTTGTATCATGCACTGTTTATACTTTTTGTTCTGGTATATTTTATATAGTATGCAGAATTATTGATAGCACATGGAATTAAACATGAATGGTCTATAACTAGAAGGAAAATTAACAAGTTCATGGAAGTTTTTGTTTTGTTTTTAGAGCCTGTAGCAATTCAAGCACCAAACAGACCTCTTCCTCCTACACCAGATGATGAAGACAGTAATGACAGAACCCTTGTGGTTAGAAGAGTGAGTAAAGTTTTATCTAGAAATAACAAACTCAGAAGAAAAAAAAACGATTAGTGAAGACCAGTCTCTTTAAGCACCACCATATATTTTAATCATTTGGAGATTTATGTTTCATTAAACTTTTATTGATAGTTGCTGTTGTTGTTTTTTAAGTAGTCATAAAACTTGGTATTAAAAGGGTTAGATTTTGTGAACAATTACCCATATATTGTAAGTTTTTAAAATATTGTTTTTTATTGATGACTATGCTAAGTTTGACTTTCTTGTATTAGTCCTATCTGTAGTGATCAGAATATATGTAATGGATTATCATTTGAAAGTAAAGAATTATTCTACAATAGAGGATTAGTATTTCTTGAAGGAATGGTTTTTACATACTTTGAAATGCCATTATGTTATTTTGTTGTACTACAGGGACATTTGAAACTCCTGAAGATTAGACCGTAGTAACAGAATTTTTGTAAGCGTAGTGTACACTTTTTGGATATAATTATATTCGTGAAAAACACTTTGAACACTATTGAAGAATTCACCCAACAATGTTTTATGATTATTCTTTCAGATTTTGTCTATGTCTGGTTGTGTTAGACATAATTTAAATTTTTTAACACCCTATTAATTGTAAAGGTTTATATTTTGCAGGTGTTTTGACACAGACTACATCTTGATCACATAATACATAATCTAGTGTATTTTTATATCTTTTTATTGACATTTAATTGACTGTTTTATATTGAAAGAAATTTTTAATTTATGTTCAAATTGTAGACAGTATTATTTCTGCCTGTTTTGTGATTCAAGAATGAGTTCAAGATCTCCATGCATCATATCTATCCATCCACACCTATTTCCCTGAAATTTCAGCATGCAGTAGAAAAACCTTTTATGCTGTTTTGTTGTCTAAATGACTAAATATATATTTGCCCAAATATGATTATTAGTACTTGCCCATTTTTGGGGGGATCAAAACTTATCAGAAGCTTCATTTTAGTAACACTTTCCACCACAATTACAGAATCAATCAAACAAAAAAGAAGGTGAGAGGTCAAAACGGGAACAAAATGGCAAAGAACGAAGTGGTCGAGAAAGATCCAGTAGTCAAGTTGAGAAAAACCATCGCAAAAGGGACTCTGTTGGTTTAGAAAGGGTTGAAAAAGCCAAACAAAGATCTGACAGAAAAGAGCGGCCTCCCCTACATAAAACTTCTTCATCCCCAATACCCGTGGCCTCATCATCTGTCCCTAATGGAGAGTCTCAGAGAAAAGAACGGGTTTTCTCACAGGGGCTAACCAGAAACAGTAGTCAGGTTGGTTGGATAGGGGGCATTACCAAATTCTCTCTTTCTTTATTTTAATTTCTTTAAGTTGCATTTTATTTATTGGTATTTTTTGTTATTATTAAATTGCTTTATTTTATCTCAAAGCTTATGGAAATTCAGTCAATTTCCAAAAAAACAAAATGCCTACTTTTTATGTAGTTGAAACTGCCACAGTAAATTGAGACATTAATCAAATACAAGGTAATATTATGATACCTGTTGCTGCCAAGAAAATGTTTTAATAATCACTGTAACATGATATATATTAAAATTTCGAAAACATTTTGAAATGTGTGAATAAACATTTTGGTTTACCTAAAAGCATACATTAACGGTTCATGTAATTAAAAAATTAAATGCTTGTCTCATTTTTCCTGGCTTCTTGTATCTTAAAATTATAATTATTGGAATATATACATTCTAGAGCTATGCATGTTTTAATCTTCATCCAGAATATCGTGGAATTCTCATAAGTAATTATTCTAATGTTGTTCAATATACATATTGTGAAATTATAGATATTTTTCCTAATCTACAAATCCTTACATTCTCTAGGCCTTTAAATTCTTAAGTATCTTAGTCCTCCAATATTAAATATTCCAGTGTTTTGTTGTTGTTCTTATTGTTCTTGGTACATATGTTAAGAGCTTTAAACATTTATTCAAATTCTAGAATGATTTATTCCAGTTTTAGTTGTTTATTTTAATATTCTCGATATGTACTCTAGAATTTAAAATAAGAAATTATTGTCTTAAATCTTCCTGGTTTTATATTTGTATAGTTTTAGATACTTGTTTCACTCCTACCTTTTTGAGATCAAATATCTTGCAAGTTTTATGTTGTTTGAGAACTCTTGCACGTGATACACAGCCTAGAGCTTGAAATTTTTGTCTCATTCTTCCAATTTTTAGATGTTTATTTTGATCTTATCTTTCTTGAAATTAAATATCCTGCAAGTTTTAATCTTATTTCAATACTTATGCTAGTTTTACAGATTCTTGAGCTTGAAATTCTCTAAATATTGGTTTTAAATTTGTGCTTGACCTTTGTCTTATATTTTTTAAGATCAAATATCCTGCAAGTTTTAATCTTGTTTTAATATGCTTGAATATCACATGGATTCTAGAACTTGAAGTAATTGCAATAATTGTGGTTTATATTTTAAAACTTGTTTCAGTCCTAAGAATGGTTCTTATTTCTCACACCATAACGTATTCTAATCGTGCTGAAGGTTGCTTCACTAATCATTTTAATGCTTAACAGGTAACTCAGCCTTTAAAGGCTCATTTGAATCATCTTTACTAAAATAAACCACAGATTCCAAAATTGGTTTGTTGATATTATGAATTCTAAATTAAAACCTTGTCTTAAACTTGGAATCCTGCAATATCGAACTATAATAGCTTGTCTGGATCAAAATTACACAGTAGAGCATGAAAATTTAAATAAAATTTAATGACTTAAATTGAGAGTAAAAGTTCAGTAGCTGTTTGCTGATTGTTTAACCTAAGCTTCATCTGAAGGATTAGAAGCATCTCGTTCACCCGTAGCGTAGTCTCATTTTCAAATATTTCCAAATATTTTCAGTAAAGCTGAAAATGAGACTATGCTACGTGTGTAGAAGACATTTCTAATCATTCAACTGAAGCCTAGATTAAACAATATGCAAAGGGCTACTGAACTTTTACTTGTAATTTAGGTAATGAATTTTGTTTGGATCATAATATCTGTGTTGTATATGAGATTTAGAAAGTGGTAAATTATGTTTATTTCTAAGCATAAAACTCATTAATCACAGAGTTGTGCGATCTAATTATAGAATCTCACCTGAATTATCCCTCTCAAGTTAGCACCTTGTCTCATAATCTTTGATACCACAGGCACCTAATGACTTAACTACAAACCACTGTATATATAGGTCATGATCAGTAAATTTGATAGTTATGCTGTCCATAAAAAAAGCAATATTAGTATGTTCTCTACATTTTTATAATTTTTTATACATACCTCTGTTGCTAAAAACAGGCTTTTCTGATATGTATATATAAAAGTTTTAGTTACCTTTATATGTTTTTTTATTTATTTTTTATGTTTTAATTCAAAACGTAATTTTCTCTTAGTTCAAAATGTATTTTATATTTTAACACTTTTGATATATTTCTTTCTTTTTTTTGTTCTGAGAGAATATGGGAATGCCACAAAGAAAATTAATGAACAACAAAGTTTGTTACCAGGTGTTACATAAAAAAAATGTGTCAACTAGCATATAAATGTTAATTTAATCAAACTTTTTCTAAGGAAGGGTATTCCATCTATCTGGAAGCCATTTTTTAAATTATCAGACTATATGTAGGTTGATGCTGTATATCTGCAGGAATCCTGATTAGATGTGTAATTATACAATATTTAATATTTTATGTAAATTATGAATGCTTTTTGAACAATAAGTTCCAAAGTATTTTAAATATTTATAATTTATGCTTAAAAATTGATAAACTGTAGAACTTGTTAGTGGTTTACTTTTGAGTATTTTTCTAAGCTCCTTCTATAAGTATTTTTTTAAACTTTGTCAAGGTTTACATTTATGCCTAAAAAAGTTACAGGCTTAAAATGAATAGGAGTATATGTTGTTGTTTTTTAATTTGTGATGAAACTTTGTGATTTTGGATTGATTCTAGTTACTTCCTAAATTTAATTGTCTTTTCTTTGTTAACAAAAACTTTCCTTAGTGTACACTAAGTGTAAGATTTTATTGTTAAAAAAAGAAAATTTTTATCTCTCTCTCTCTCTCTTCATGTTACTGATTATTACTAAGCACAGATATTAGTGGTTAAATACTAGTTTTAAATTACAAGTGATTTCAGTTATCAGTATGGCATTATTTCTGCTGTAATTTATCTTTAAATGTAAATTTAATAACATGAGACTGTTATGTTGCTGTATGTTTTATAGTTGTTTCACTGCAGAAATTGTTGTTGTTTTATAATAATTCTTTTGATAATAGTTAAGTATTGGTACTTCTAAAGAATTTTGCCAGCTACAATAAGTAACTAGAGGGAAACTTGTGATGTGCATTCTAAATATTTTTGTGATATTTTACATTTGAGTGCACAAAGTTTATAAAATGTTAAGACATTGCTGTGTATTTAAAGTAATTAAAACAATTAAGTGACATGTCTAGACTACTTAGGTAAGGGGTTAAGTACATAGAATTCTGAACAAAACTAATGGTCGTGTGGGGTGTCTTAGTGACTGTGAGGTTAAACATAAGAGGATTAAACCTATTCCACAACACATGATACCCACTAACTACCTATAGTACAAGAGACACTTTGAGCCAAATGATCTGATCAAAAATGACAAACCGATCAATTTGTTTAGTAAGAGACACCTGATCTAGCAATGCTTTCAAAGCCTGGATATTGGAGGCAAGTATTAAAACTCAATGAGTACTGGCAGTACCAGTACTCTAGATGTCTATAAACAAATGAAAAAATTCACACACAGAACCTTAACACATAAACACTGCTGTCTGAGATGGGTCTCTGAAGGATGACAGATCCTTTCCCCAAATACCTGCCCCTTTGCAATGCATAGTACTATCTACACCCACCCATTCCTTACACAAATGGTAACATTATCTGTAATTCCCTACTCATAATTTCATTTTTGCATAGTTTAAAGTGCTTCCATGTACATATGGTGATGTTGTTTTTGTTTCCTTACTTCTAATTTAATTTTTTCATAGTTTAATGAAGCTTAAAAAGTTTTCCATGCATGCACACACACATAACTCTTTTAATTATACAGGTTTATATTAATGACCATTTTCACACATTAGATAACACTTGTGGAGAAAAAAAAAAGTTATGCTATAGTGGGAAATTACAATAATAGGAAGCTTGTAATTATGAAATACTGTTGTTAATATGAACTTCATAGAACAACAAGTACATTGCTGACTATTAACTGTTGTGTCTGTTTAATTAATGGTTTACCCTTGTTGTTGGGCTCAGTGGTCAATATGCCAGACTGTGGAGCTGAGGTTCTATGGTTTATGTTCCATTACTGAAAAAAAACAGTGTCGCATGACAAAAGTAGCCCAGTAGTTGTTGAGTGGTGCCTTCTTTCTAGTCTCTCACTTGAAAATTAATGATGGCTAATGCAAACACCCTTCATGTAACTTTGCATGAAATTCAGCAAACAAACAATTGCAAATAGCAATAATAAATTATCTATTTAGAACTACTGTTCTTGATTGGTAGCAAGGAAATATATTCATGTATTTGTTAATTTGTGTTTGATAGTAAAACTGATGCTTTTTAAACATTATTCAGAAAGGTCTTTCCTTCTACTTTGCACCATTTTATCACAAGTAATTTTCTAGTTGCTGATACTCACATATAATATGGAGGGTTGTTTGTTACATATGGTAACACGAGATAATGAAAAAAAAATATTTGGAATCTGTTTATGTATTTTTTCCACTTAACCTAAGTTACCATATTCAATGGCCCAGCATAACCAAGTGGTTAGGGTGCTTGACTCGCAGTCTGAGAGTCATGGATTTGAATCCTCATCCCACCAAACATGCTCGCTCTTTCAGCCTTGGGGACGTTATAATGTGATGGTCAATCCCACTATTTGTTGGTAAAAGAGTAGCCCAAGAGTTGGTGGTGGGTGGTGATGACTAGCTGTCTTCCCTTTAGTCTTTCACTGCGAAATTAAGGATGGCTAGTGCAGATAGCCCTCGTGTGGCTTTGTGTGAAATTCACACAAACAAACAAACCCATATTAAACTATTATTGTGTGTTGCACTTTGTACTTAATTTATCTTTTATCAAGAGTTAGTGTTATCAAAATAATTATTTCTTGCAGTGATGTAAAATGTTCAACTTAACAATACACTGAGACTTATTAGGCCCAAAATTTTATTAAATTATGCATGGTTGTAACTTGTGGCAGAAATGATAGATCTTAAAGTATAATTTCATATACATCTGATTCAAAATATATAGTGGTCTAATTAAGAGGAGTGTGATAATTTAAAAAAAATCTTGTCTTAGCTTCCTAAACCACTTAAGCACATACACAAACTTAAAAGCTGAATAGGAGTGATAGTAATATTTATTAGGTTGTCAAGAAATTAATGTCTTGTTTTGGAACACTTTCATTAACCACCCCCAAGAAAGGTACATCACATATAATAGTTAAATGAACTGCCTAAATGTCACATTAGTGTAGCCTATATAATGTGTAAAGTTTAGTATGCTCTAATCCCTTATAGTGATGGCACACAATGAGACACATATTCAGCATATAATGCTGTTTGAATACAAGAAGGAAAACAAAGCCTCTGTAGCCATAAAGAATATCAAAGAAGTTTATGGAAATGTTTTGAACATTCGTAAGTGCCAACGACGGTTCAGCTAATTTTATTCAGGTTACTTTAGCCTTAAAAACTGGTGGCAGGGGCAGACATTTTTGAATTGATATTGATGCTCTGAAGATGCTTATTGAGTCTAACCCAAGGCAATACACTCGTGAAATGACCCTGAAATTGCATGTCTCTCATGAAAAAATATGTAAACATCTAAGGAATGTGGGAAAAATCCAAAAGAAAAAGTGTTTTGGTGCCTCCCGAACTCTCTGATGATCTTCATTTCCAACGTGTAAATGCTGCTTCATCTCTTCTGG